CGACGGAAGCTTTTTCCACAATCCATGCATTGAAATGGTTTTTCCCCTGTGTGGATCCTCTCATGTAGCTTAAGTTGGCCTTTTTGACTGAACCTCTTTTCACAGTGCAGGCATTTATAAGCTTTTTCCCCTTTATGCATCCTATTATGTAAGGCTAGATTCGAGGTGTTGCGAAAGCTTTTTCCACACTCCAAGCATTCATAGGGTTTCTCCCCTGTGTGGATCCTCTTATGGGAAGTAAGGGCATTGGAGGTCTTGAAGCATTTTCCACACTCTACGCATTCATAGGGTTTCTCTCTGGTGTGGATCCTATTATGTAAGGTTAATCTGCTGCTTGTGCTGAAAGTTTTTCCACACTCCAAGCATTCATAGGGTTTCTCCTCAGTGTGGGTTCTGCTATGTACGATATAGCTTTGTTTTGCACTGAAGCTCTTTCCACACATGTGGCATTCATATGGTTTATCCTCAGTATGGAGCCTTTTGTGGCAAGTGAGGCCCCATGAATTGGTGAAGCATTTGTCACACTCGGTGCACTTATAGGGCTTTTCACCTGTGTGAATTCTTTTATGGGTATTAAGATGACTTTTTTGACTGAAGCACCTCCCACACTCGGTGCATTGATTTGGTTTCCCTCCTCTGTGCATACTTTGATGGGAAGTTAAGATGCTGGATTTACAGAAGCTCTTTCCACACTCCAGGCATTTGTATGGTTTCTCCCCTGTGTGGGTCCATTCGTGGGCACGAAAGCTATCAGAACGGGAAAAGCGTTTTCCACATTGCAGGCATTGAAAGGGTTTCTCCCCCGTGTGGATTCTGCTGTGTAAAATATATCCATATCTTGCTTTGAAGCTCTTTCCACATTCCATGCATTGAAATGGTTTTTCTCCTGTGTGGATCCTCTCGTGTGACTTTAGATAATCTTTTTTCCTGAAGCTCTTTCCACACTCCAGGCATTTGTATGGTTTCTCTCCTGTGTGGATTCTGCTATGTATGATATAGCTACTTTTTGCATTGAAGCTCTTTCCACACACTGTGCAATGATACGGCTTTTCCCCTGTATGGGTCCTATTATGGCAAGTGAGGACACTCGCATAGCGGAAGCAATTCCCACATTCAAGGCATTTATATGATTTCTTCACAGTGGAGCTTTTTTTCTGGAAATTCAGTTTCTTCCTCTGAGTAATCCTCGTTCTACCCTCCCGGGGTTCGTGCAACCTCTCCTCTCTGTGGAGGCTTTGATGGGAAATAAGGGAGGCGCTGCTTCCAAAGCTGTTTCCCCTATTAATGCACTGATCTTGCTTCCTCTCTTCATGGACCTTCTTATGTGAATTAAGATGATTTTTCTGCCTGAAGGTCCTTCCACAATCCAGACATTTGTGTGGATCCTCTGCTTTGTGAATCTTTTTATGCAATGCAAGGGAGTGGCTTGTACCGAAGTTTTCTGCACACTTCGTACATTTGTATGGTTTCCCTCCTCCTTGTATTCTTTCATGTAAAGTAGGAGGAAGGTTCCTTCTGGAGTGTTGCCTGCTTTCATCTTGTTTCTCTCCAGCAGGGCTTTCACCACAGTCACATAATCCAGATTCATCATAGAGTGTTTTCCCATACCTTGAACACACTTGTTTTTCATGGCAATCATCAGTGTCCAGTAAGACATTGGTATCTGGACAAGGTAAACCAGAGCAATTCTCCAGCTCCCCCATTAGCTGGTTTTGCTTAAAACTTTGCTTTCCATACATCTTTTCTGCAACTTCCTTTTTGTCTGTTGGTAAAGGTACAGCTGCCCCTTGGCCAGAATCCTCCATCTGCCAACCGTCACCTGCTTGTGACAATAAAAAAAGAAAAGTTAACACAAACTTAGGTGCGAAAGGGTTCAAGCACCATTGCTGTATTTGAACAGTATCAAACTTCCTCCAAAATCACTTTGGTTCAAAACATGGTGTCATTCCTAAAGCCATTTTGTATCGTGTTCTGGGTTGGCTCAGCGAGGCTGGGTAGAGCTGTGGGAATGGGAGGGGGGAATAGAGATAGCTGGGCATGTGTAGCTAACATAGAATTCTTTTCCCTGGGAACCAAGGATGTTCTCATCAGCACCTGGTGAGGCACATGAGGAAAACAGCTGGACTCAGACTGCGACCTGATTGGACCATGTGATGGATGAGTGGACTGGGGGGAAGAACTTTGAATTGGGTGGGGAAAACCTCTGGGCCTTCGGAGTCAGAGACTTTTTACCAGCTGTGCCAAAAGGACTTGCCTAATAAATCTATACTTTGAGGAATCATCAAACCTCAG